TACGGAGTTTCCATGAACCCCTTTGCTTCCTGCAGCTCATGCAAACCTTGTGTTTGTTCCTGGGTCACTGAGGGAGCCCACTCCCGCCTTCTCCCCTCACCCTTTCCTTCTGCCTGGCTTTCCTTCTCCCTCACCCCTTCCCCCTGCCTGGCTTTCCTGACACAACACCAGTGAAACTCGGGCCTGGGGAGCAGGGCTGTCCTCCTCCCTCATCACCAGTCCCCTCCCCTGCCCTGCATTCAAGAGCACTGGGTGCCAGACAGGGTCCTAGCTGGGAGGGGGAATCCAGAGAATAATAATAGCAAATCTTCCTAACACAAACCACAGTGCAGAGCCTTACTGAGAGTCCGCTGTCCTTGTTGTGGGTGAGTGCTCTGTGGCTCAGGTGCGGTCCCTGTTCTCAGGGAGCTCACAGTCTCTCCAGAGAAAAGAGAAACTGGGATTTCAACCCCAGGGTGCCCAGTAGGACCCTTAAATCAAGAGAGGTGGTCAGTGACGGGGTCCTGGCAGGGGGTAGGGGGGTTTCCCAGGCCAGGACGGCCAGCTTCCCTCCTATCCCCCGGGAGTGACCTTCAGAGGACGAGGCAACGGGGTTGTGTCCCTGGGACAGAGTCATCTGAGGCCATCGCTGCACAAGAGAACGCTGTGGCAGGATGTCCCTGTGGACGCATTACCAACTCTTGCCTTTGCCTTTTTAGAGGGGCTGTTTGCTCTTCCCTCTGGGAAGGATGTGAAGGGTGGAGAGCAGAGAAAAGTCTTCCAGGCTGTGGTTTCCAAAAGCTCAGCCCTTAGGGCAACAGAGAGAAGCTGGGCATAAACAGGATGCTGGGCGGGAGGGAGAAGGAAAGAGAAAGACAGAGCCAGAGCTGTTCTTGCTTCCCCAGAGAAAGTGCCTTGGTCTCTGGTCTGTGCTTCATCAGGGAGCCGAGCCTGGGGTAGGACTTGTGGGGGCCCATTGCCTCCCCACCTTACGCTTGTCAGTGACCGAGTTTGAACCGCTGCCCTGCTGCTTCCCACTATGTCCTGAGCAAGTTATTTCACTTCTCTGAGCCACAACTTTCTCAGCTGTGACACGGGGGTCCCAGCCTCCCCTGCTGGCTGGTGTGGCTGCTGTGAGGGAGGAGAGTCCAGCAAAGCCTGGCCCACACATGCCCTTCCTTCTCCCTCCCCATCGCCCCTCTCTCTCCTTCCACTCCGGGCCCTCTGGCCCTTGAGGAACCCTGGGCCTAACCTGACCGCCCTCTGTCACCCACTCCTGCCGCCCCAGCAGCCAGCCCAGAGCCGGGCTCCCCTCATCTCTGCTCATCAGTTTCCTGACCCCTGTTGCCTTCCCCACCACTGGCAGGAGGACACACCTCTTTTCCCCTTTCTTCCAGCTGCACCCCCAGCACCTCACACAATGGCTGGCAGGCAGTAGGCACCGAATAAGCATTTGTTTAGTAAAATCTGCAGTTTGGGTAGGAAGGAGGAGAGTGGAGAGCAAGGAAGGGACCAGAGGCTCAGGTGCAGCTGCTGCCAGAGGTGAGGAGCCTGCCTTGTGCTGCAGCCATGCTGGGCCTGGGGCTACGGGGCCTGCTCTGCGCAGCAGGTAAGGACCCCCGTGCACCGTGAGAGGATTTTCCCACAAGATCCTAGCAAAGCTTGATTGCACCTGCCCCCTCTTCTCCCCCCGCCCCAACACACACACACACACACACACACACACACACACACACACACACACTGGGCTCCTTGCATGGGTCCCAGGGAAGGGTGCTTGTCCTCTGAGGTTCCCAGGTTTTGAGGTTGAAGGGGAAACAAAGTGGAAAACCATGTTTTTCAACTGTTAGTCCAGGCCTGGTGACGGAGGTCTCAGCCTCCTCTCCCCCTCCAAGGCCCAGGGGCCAGAACCCAGAGTCTGCTGGCTTCATCTCATTCCACTCACTCATCTCCTCAGGGAGGCATCTAACCAACAGGTAGTAATGAAGTGCCTCATAGAGGTGGCTTCACAGAGCTCACAGTCTAGCGGGGGTTAAAGACATTCGGTAAGAAGATAGTAAATAAAATGATTGTGGCAGCAGCAAGACCCCCTGGGGCCAATGCTGTGAGCCCCAGTGAGAGGCCAGTGCCTTGGGCCAGGGTGGCAGTGGGCATGGAAAGAAATGGAAAGTTCATGAAGGCTCAAGATACACACTGGGTAGAGCTGACGGGATTTGCTGTGAGACTGGATGCCAGGAATGAGAGAAAGAGAGGGACCAGCCGTGACTCCTGGGCTGGGGCTAGAGACACTGGAGGGAGGGAGCCATTTAATGAGCTGGGGGCACCAGGACGGAGCAGACGGAAGGTGAATCTGTGTGTGGACAGAATGACAACCGGAAGGAAACGTGCAGGAGTCCAGTGGTGGAGGGCAGAACCTGGGAGGCCCCAGGACACAGCATGAAGCCAGGAGATCAGCGGGGCAGCAGGGTTTTTCATTAGAGCCTAAAATCAATTTGGTGGGCCACAGGCAGCGATTTGAAAAAATTAAACAGATTAGGATAAAACATGTCAGAGTCCCTAATCAGTGTGTTCAGTGGTTAGAGTGTCAGCCCAAAGGGCATTGGTTCAATTTCTGGTAAAGGGAACATACCTGGGTTGCTGATTCTATCCCCAGTACCTGTGGGAAGCAACCAATCAATGTGTCTCTCTCACATCGATGTTTCTCTCTCCACCCACCCCTTCTCTCTCCCCCATTCCTCCCTCCACTCTAAAAAAAAAAAAAAAAATCAATGGAAAAAATATCCTCTGGTGAGGATTAACCAAAAAAAAAAAGTGTCCAAGTGATTCACACATATGAAATAATAACTTCTTTCCTCTGACAGCGATTCTCCAATTCTTCTCAGCGACAGGTGGCTTCTGGAACTCTGGTGGGTATGAGGAGCTTCGTTCCTTTTGGCAAGTCCCTTCCTGGTCCTTTTCCCCATGCCCCCCACACAGGGCACAGGCTGGGCACTCTGTGTGCCAGTTCTTCTGTCTTATCTTCCTCTCCTACGGGCATCTGGCTTGAGGCTGGTTCTTTAAGGCTTAGGACCCCCAAGATCCTTGCCCCAGGCCCTTCATCCCTCTCGACCCCTCTGCACCACGGGACCTGGGCAGAGTTGCTGGGACCTTGGCAAGGGTATGGAGTCAGGAAGCAAGGAAGCGAACACTGAGGTCTTGAGGCTGGTTCCCAGGAGAAGTGTAATTTGCTCATTAGTTCATTCATTTTCAACACATCGAGCCGTTCTGATGCGCTGGCTGCTGAGAAAACGATGAATATGGCTTGTTCTTTGCTCCCAAGGTGCCTGGACCTGGTGGAGGAGACAGACAAGCAAAAAGGTCCTTTCCCCGGGGCTTTTAAAAAATTCTGATGTGGTCCCAGCACATTCGGATCCTTGCTGTAGGGTGGGCCTGAGCATTGGTATATTTGAAAGGCTCCCCAGGTGATTCTATGCGCAGCCCCTATTCCAAGCCCCGGACGCCTATGTCAGGGCGGTACATGGGATGACTAAGGGCCTGGACCTGGAAGCCCCACCCACTGGGTGGGTGGCCAAGTCACTCAATTCTCTGGACTTGGTTTCCTCAATGGTCAAATAAGCAGTGACA